TGATTCTGCCTCACAAGAACCCGACATAGTTTCTGAGATTTTGATCTTTACATGGGCAATGAGTGGGTTTGAACTGCTGACACTGTGGTCAGTAGCCTGATGCCTATGCACTATGCCACACACAGCCAATATGCCTCAAGTACAGCTTGAATACAAACCTAGGCCTTTCTCCAAATCCCCTCTGCTCCCCAGAAGAAGCCACACCCTGCCCGCTCTCTGCCTTTGCCACATGCAGGTAGGGAGGGGGCTGTGCGCAAGCCCGCAGGGGGAAGAGCCAGGGGAAGTTCTAGCTGATCTCCACCTCTTCACTGGCAGCAGGCAGAGCCTGCCCGCACGGCCCCGCGCCCAGCCGAGCTACCTCTTTGTAGCGCTTGCTGCTCATCAGGAAGATGATCACCAGGAGCTGCAGGTAGGCTTCCACCTCGGGCAGAAGCGGCGCTGATGCAGCTTTTCCTGTGCGGGGACGGAACTGTAAATCGGCTTCTGTGTCCATGGGCTACGAGAGGACAGGAGTTGTTACCGTGGAAAAGCTCGCTCGGGCCAATGCGCTGCGACATCACCGAGCCTCTACCACGCAGTTCAGTGTCTCCAAGGGCTACTCTGGCCAGGAGACTGTAGGATGGCACAAAGCTGCTTTCTCAAGGGTGCTGTCACGGAGGCTAGCAAGACAATCAAGACACTGACGGGTTCTAGGAATGCACCTGGGTCTTTGCAGAATACAGTGGGGACACTCGGGAGGACGTGAGGAACCCACAGAGTGAGCCACCTTTCCTGTCACCACTGCAAATGCTGAGTGGGACCCAATCAAGCCACAGAACCATAGAGAGGAGCTCACAAAGCAGGAAAAGTGGTGTGTGAGCCAAACCATGGGGAGAGTAAAACACGGGAAGAGTAAAACACACGCAGGCCTTACTTTCAGATCTAGACCAGGGAAATAATGACATTAAGAGAATTAAAGGAAAACACCCAAGGTGGGGCGGAGGGAGGAGCACGCCCTCCTTTTCCTAGACAAACTCTTCACTGACCGCCCCAGGGCATTGCCGCCCACCCCCTCCCTCGGGGGGACTGTAAATATGGAGGTGGCTAAGGGGATGAAGGTGGTGGAGGAGGAGGGG